CAACGAAGTGAATAGAACTGGGGGACAGGGTGCCCCAGGATGCTGCTTTATATACATGAGGGAAAACCCCCCAGGGACCGGTAATGGATCCCTGGTACCTAGCTGGGTAAGGATTACTAAGTATCATGTGCTCTATGATGTCATATATGATGTCGTAGTCTGGCCCTGCCCTGCCCTGGGCCTAGGGTCCAGAATTGACCGGCCTATGGCCTAGTGCCTGAGCCTAGCTCCTACCTATGATGTCAGAATGATGTCATGGTCCAGAAAGAGTCTGGTTTCTATCTAGAAAAGGTCTGGCATCAGAGTCCAGCCTGATGTGTCCAGAACAAGATCATGTGTCGCTTATTTAAGCGGATAACCCCTTAGATATGCAGCTGTACCCATATGCGGACAGATAAGTATGGATAAGTCCCTATACCCTTTGATATGTCCGCAGAAATAGCGGAAAAATTAGGTAAAATTAGGGAAACTGTGACAGTCAGCCCGTTTCGCATTTGCTCAAAATGGCACATCACCGAACAAGAAACACGCATCAGCGCATAGACCGTATACAAGCGCTTTTCGCAGCAACAGAAAGACATCCGACTCACTCCGCTTCGACCGCTATCAGTTCACACGGATTGAAGCTTCTGTTTCGGCAGATGGAGAGGTTAGACTGATCTCGGACCCTCGCACTGAGACAATCCTCGTAGCAAAGGACTGGCAGCAGTACATAGCAGGAGGTTTGCGAGAAGGAGGGTACATTGGAAAAGGATATTCAAAGTTTGCATTTGAGGTGAGCCATTGAAATGATAATGATTTGCATACATATTTCCTTATGGTTCAGGGGCGACTCGGAACAATACCAGTCGCTATCTTCCAAATGAGGCCAATTGGAGATCCTAGCGACCGGGACTTAAATCAACGGGATATGATAGCTGAACTCCGTATATTGGCACTCGGGCAATACTTCCTGGATGCCTTCTACAGGCGTGTGAAGGCCTATCATGTCAAAGGCCTTCCTGGTAAGTTATACTTATATTGCACTTCGTGTTTCTTTGTTGTTGACCTCTCATACAAGAGCTTGAGTGGAACTCGGCAGGTACCTTTGTTGGTCAAGTGACATCTGAGCTCCCTCCACCTCCGGCCTCCATTGCTGACAAGGATACGAGAAGTTTACTATACGACATGTTTCTCGCTGCGCCACTGCTTGAAACCAGGGACATTGAACCTGGGTACAAAGAAGTGAAGTACTCAGGCACTGACTGTGCCGGCCAGAACACAGATACACTCGGAGTGGCCATTGATGCATTTGCGCATCACACCCTTGTTGATAGTCAGGGAACACTTGTTTTTGTTGATTTACAAGGTTCGTTCATCCTCCATATTTGCGCTGCAGAGATAGGTCTAAACCAAATTTATTGATAGGTCTCATAAAGCTGAGTGGTAAATTCGTTATCTACGATCCACAGATTCAAAGGTAATTATATACAGTGCATCGGAAGGAGTGTTGGCTGATCGTATGGCTCGGGCAGTCTCGAGGGCTCAGCAGGATTCTATGACAAGGGAAAGGCAGGGATCGACACATTCATCAAACAACATACATGCAATGGTGTTTGTCGCGCTCTAGGACTTGATAAGGAGTCGAAATACCCCGCCGCAGAGGGCCGTGGCAAGACTCCAGTCGTGGGATGTTCGTCTGTCAGTGTTGAAAACATCTTCTTGCCTAGAGGCCAACAAGGCCCACTTCGCCATGGGTTTCCATCCGAGTAGTCACATTTTAATTCGCTAACTCATATGATACTGATAGCGCATTTAATTAGACAAAATTCATGGACGAGAAAGAATTAGCACACACCTATAGTACAAGCCACACCCTATTCCTTCATTGTAACGCTCTAACCATCTTACCAAGTGAGTCGCTGTCGTACTTATTGAACGAGTGCCCGACATCACAGAGCTCGCACGTTAGCGCACCTTCATGACCAGCGGGCTATGCGCACTAGCCGTCAGCGCCGTGTGAGGCGGCGGTCAGTTCGGGGGGAGGACACTCACATCGGGTGCCCCTCGTCTTCATCTTCCATATGCCTCGGCCACTGGTAGCTGCGGTAGTTGCTCGTGCCCGACATCCGCATCTGCAAAATCCGGAGCATCAACACGACGCCGCTGTGACACTCAAGACACATGACATCAGCTTACCTCCTCCGTGAGCGTGCCAATGTCACTGGGGTCGCGAAGCCGGACATGCGGAAGCGCAGGCTCGTGGGGACCAAGTTTGGCATCATGCGCTCCATGCCAAAGTCGAGCTCCTCGCCTTCGCCTCCCGCGCCATAGAATGCGTCCGGCTACACGCACTCAAGCGCAAGCTGCCGCGCCTTCAAATACTTGATGCCGAGGTTCTTCCAGTCCAGCAGCGGGCTCAGCCGCTCGACACGGTTTGTCTGGTTGATGCGCTGCCGCCGTGTCTTCTGGCAGAAGCTGAACATGTGGTCCGTCTGTTGACTCACCGAGTCCTCAACAGATTGCGAGTGCCAGTCGACGATGTAGCAGCCCTCGTCTTGCGGCCGCTGGATCAGGTCTTGCATGAAGCAGCCGAACCCAGAGAGATTGGTCATCACTGAGGGGATAGCAGGAGCGCGTGATGTGCTGGCAGTCAGTGTCATTCTTACAGAAGAGATGACAGTGAAAAACACGCACCATAGCTCCATAGAATGTCCCTGAATTTAGGTGTCAGTAGCGATTCAAAAGAGAATGGTGATGTTGAGTAGACGAGAGCGTATCCGGGACAGGACATTGGGAAAGGGACGTGGAGATCCGAGATAAGCGCCGGAGTCGAGGCCCGTGCCGAGCAGAGATCAAAGATCAAAAAGGCGAGATTCCAAAAGTAGACCTGGTACAGGTCGGCAACCGTAGTCGGGTCGAAGCCGTCAAGTGTTCGGACCGTGAGCTCGCCGACGCGAGCGACAGCATAGAAAGCAGACGTCAGACAGGCCCAAACTGCAGCATCGAGCGGCTGCAGAAGCGACAATTGCCCACGCAGCACAAGCAAGATATCCACAGTGTATGGCGGGCGCTTGCTGAGCCGAGAGGCCGGTCGGCCGCTGACAGCATGGAGTCGGCAACATCGTGGGGAAGGAGCCAGGGACACCCATGAAGGATGTGCCATGCGCGCAACCCATAGTAGTAGTTCCGGATGGTGCCCCCAGAGTAAGCACCAGACACAGTGGCAAGGAATGCGAGCACAACAGCAGGGTACGCTGGCGCCCGCTCGGCCTCTGAGATCCGCTTGCAATCGCAGACCACATGGAATATGAGAAGACCGGTACCATAAGTCTCTGAGGTAGACGCTGCCCACGCAAATGATAGGACGTCCTCAATGCGGCGAACGTCGGCCGGGGTGAGGAGGTTATCCGAGCCAGATGCAACAGGGGGTAGCTGCGAGGCCGGGGGATGCCCACCTAGGGCAGGTCCTGGAGGTATCTAGTAGACCCCCATCGGGGCGGTGGGAAATGGGTCTAACGAACACCATCCCCAGGGGGAGATCAGGGCCTATATCCCGATATGGATATATGCATGTGCCTGATCGCACCCTCGAGGCGGGTTAGATGCCCGCCCGCCCTCCTTGGGACGCTCCTCCGCCGTACCTTAGGACGCTCCACCATCCCCAGCCTCTGTGTACCCTCGCCATATTTGTACCTGTCTACATCTTGATGCCATGTCTTTGCTATTTCAAATTAGCTCCTATGCTCTCTCGCCCGGCTATATTCTCACTTTCACCATGCCACCACCTAGTACTCTCCAGATTGGCGACGACCTGCTCCCATGTCCTGCGACACCCCCCCCCGATCGCAGCCACCGAGGACGCGCGATAACCAGAAGGTCATCCCCCGCACTGGGGCGCACTTTTTGACCCCCCAAAAACGTCGGCTCGGGGGCAAAAAAGATCAGGTCTTAGTTAGTCGTCCAGGTGATACTCGTACATTGGCACTGCTAGCCCGTCTGCATGCTTTAGAATCTCATGCTTCTACTCCCCCCTCCTCCCGAGGACGCCCTACCACCTGATCTTGAACCCGAACCCTTTGAACAGGAAATCCCTGTCCAGGAGCCATTGGATGCCTCACCCCCAGCCAAGCGTAGCAAACGGCTGCTACCCGATGCAGAGGCGCACAAAACATTTGACCGGTGGCATGCTCTCATTCCCAAGCTAGTCCCGGCTCTCCTCCAATATATGCAGACATCGTACCGGCAACCTTCAACCTCGTGCACTCGGGTCGAACTGTTCTGCGAGGCCTCGTCCTGCAGCACCCAAGGAGTGAATATCTTATGCTTGTACTGGAGCCGTAAGTCGTAGTTCATGTCCCCTCTCAATGTACGAATAATAAGATTCATAGATCTAATTGCCATTGATGTCAAGGCCTGTCGGTGTTATAGTATCCCCCAGGTCCTTGTGCATCATGGCCTCTTTCCAGTTTCTCTCTCCCACCCTCGCACCGCTGTCTCCATAGACCTCCTGGAGTTCTATCATGCGTTATTCGAACGCTCGGCTGACGCGGTGACTGCACTGGCTGGCGCCTTGTGCACTCACTATGCGCGTCGCGGTTTCCAAACCCTCAACCATAAGGTAAGTACCCTCCCTTAGACCATCATCGAGACAACCTGAGCTCTACAGGGAGACCCCATCCGTGATCCATTTCGACGTGGCCTTGGGTATGCCATGCAGTGGTACGACACCCTCCGTCACTCAATTCAGCATTGTTTCAATGCTGCGATCGATGCTGCACATGCATGCCTCGCCCCCGATCCCGTTGACACTCTGGTAGACAACCACGATGCGCATGCGCTGAGCACACCTCCCCCGGTGGATGCTCTGACACGCTGCGCGAGGCTCCTGAGTACGAGGTGTCCAGCCTGCTTTGGAGGAGCAGCATTTGGACGGCCGTTTGATGAGTAAGTCCATTGTCGCTTTGACCGTCCACTACACTTGCTGATTGACGTCTCGTTACAGGGGAGCAGACATACATGTCGCACTGGATGCGACATTCAGCCAACGTCACAGCATGCATGCGGGCGATTCGCCGCACTTCTATGAACCCGAGTTCTTCATCCCTAAGGCTCAGGTCGATGAATGCGGCCGGCGCATCATTGCAGCGCGCAAGAAGCCTCCGCGACCCTCATGCGCTCCAAAGGTGCCTGCGCACATCGTCGATGAGTGCGAGAAGTCGTATGAGGCCGCTGTCACGAGTTGGTACGGCACCTAGCCGTTTTTTAATTTTTCCTTTTCGCGGGCTCGAACCCGCGACCTCTGTACTACCTGCCTGATATGGACGCGTCACTATCTACTGTACGATTAGATTAGATGGGGCGGCAGCGCACGGCACAGCTCGGGCCCCGCTGACACAGCCGCTCTGACTCACCGGCCCCCGGGGCCGCGTCGGCATGCTGCGCACAGACCAGCTGCGCACGGACCAACGTGCACAGCCTGCCCTAATCCCCCCATGTATATAAGCCGGCCTCTGCTGCCCTAGGGACCTTAGTTTCGACCTCTTGTCCCTAGGTCAGTAAGCCCCAGTTGTATCCTTTACTTACCTTCACTAACTAATACATTTCTTGTCCCTAGCCTTAGGTTTGAGCCTCGCTCACCATCGCTTCGGTAAGACCAGTCGGACGCCCTCGCTTCCAG